GTATGATTAACTGTTCAGTGGCTGCCCCCTGAGGCAGAGTTGTTCCTGGCAGGGTCTGATGTCTACCAAAGTCCCTCTTTGGCTGTACAATTTATGTGGCTAGCTAGGTCGAGTTCTGGTGTGGTTTGAAGCCCGTCACTGTTTGTATTGGCTCTGGGCCTTCTCGACCAGGGCTCTGCTACAGGTCAATGTTAAATGTTGTATGTAACCAACCTTGGGATACCTGTCTGGAACTACCACACTATTCACTGTTTGTAGGTGCATCTACTGGGCCTGGGTGTGTGTGGGAGGAACTTGGCTGTGTACCAGCATCAACTTCTTAAGGTTCTGAACTAGGAGCAGATCAATAAAAGTCCAAGACTTTCTGAGTTTGGTGACTACCTGTCATGTACTTTGCTTTTTCCTGAGGTTGCTTGGACTTTTTTCAGAATCTTACAAAGAAAGGCTGTAGAATGGGCCCAAGCTGATAGTGCCCTATTGACGCTTCCACACAGCTCAAGCTCTGTAGGACTGGGTGACCAGGTTGGGAGGATGGTGCTAGTTGCTCCCATACTTGGGGGCAGTGTGGTCAGGCACTCATGTGGCCTCTACTCCAGAGTCATACTATTCATTTTGTACTAGAATCTCCAAATATAGGTCTTCCAGGAGGAGCATACCACAGGTTCCGGTTGGGTGCAACCAGCTGTCCCCACTGCAGAAGCAAAGTTGACTGGATGGGGACACCAGGACTTGGGAAACAGATTAAGAAAGCCTTCCCTTGTGGGTGACACCAGTTGTGCTGTAGGAGAGGGCGAGCTACACTCCTCCCTTGAGCTCTGTAGCCATGCCTGCTCATGCCCTAGATGGAGATTCTGAGGGATATGTGTCCAGAGAGAAGTCTTATCTCAGAGGGTTGTTCCCTTTTCCTCTGTGCTCAATAGGATGGGGCCAGCAGGAATAACAAAAACTGAGCTCAGTAGGATGGGGCCAGCAGGAATAACAAAAACATTTCTAAGGCAGTATTTTGCGGGGGGGCGGTGGTGTGAGCCCACATGATGGGAGCAAGCTTTACACTGCCCAACAGCTCTAGCCATGCCATCAGAGACCTTGCTGGAGCCATACTCCAAAGGTCTTGGCTTTGAGCTGTGCTCCTTTTTCTCTGCTAGAACTTTGTCCAGCAGGACTGGGCCATCGGAGCTTGAGGAAACAGATCAAGGAAGCCCTCCATCGGGCATGGCATAGGCCCATTGGAGGGTAGCAAGCTGCGCACCTGTCCTTATCTCCACAACTATACTGCCAGAGACACCCTGACAAGGGAGTCTTCCGTTGGAGGTGGCACCTGCCAAACCTTCAAGAAGAGGGGGAAGATTGACCCCCAAACCTTCAAGAAGAGGGGGAAGATTGACCCCCTCCTTCCAAAACCACACATTTCAGTGACCATCTAGGAGTCTGCATATATTGGGTTGGCCAAAAATTTGTTTAGTTTTTTTCCGAAGAATGGCTCTGTTAGTGCTTAGTTGTCTTTAACATCATTTGAAACTATTTTTGTTAGATTGTATATGACATCTCATATCAGAACACATTTAAAAAAATAAACATCAAAATCGGTAAATTTTTATGTAGCCATTTTAATATTGAATATGGAAGAAAATACGCAATATGCAATATTTTTGGTGTATTATTTGAAGAATGGTAAAAATGCACCTGTAAAACAAACAAAAAAAAATAAAAAGATTTGTACAGTGTATGGAGAAATGCTGTGACTAATTCCAAGTGTCAAAAGTGGTTTGGGAAGTCTCTTGGTACTCTTGACATTTTGGCCAAATAATTCTTTGTTGTGGGGCTCTTACGCATTGGAAGATGTTTAGTAGCACCCCGGCCTCTACCTACTAAAAGCCAATAGTGGGAGATAGCCAACATACTCAAAATATCAAAATCAATAAAGTTATTGGTGAAAATTAAAAATACCCTTTCTTTTATGGAAAAAACCTAAACAGATTTTGTGGCCAATCCAGTAGTTTCTCCAGAAAATAAGCACACCTTAGGTTTCTGTTGGGTGCCACCAGCAGTCCCTTCTGCTTGGCTCAACCTTGCAGGGTGATGTCTCCAGTATTCAGAGGACCATGTTAGTGCACTTCCCCCAGCTGGTGCTGTAAGAATAGGAGTGCCTGACCCTGGGAGATGGTGTCTAAGGGTGGTGTGGGATAGGGACTCAGGACAGGGACCTCAGTAGCTGATCCTCCAAATCTCTCTCCAGAGCTAGGCCACTCAGATCTTCTCTTTGTGGCTTCCCTGTGCCCTGAGTCACCTTTCCTCTTCCAGAGTCCTGGGTGAGTGCTCAAGAGTGAGCTCCTGTGCATTGACCCTTTAGGAGGGTACATGGGATTCTAGCAGACTCTGTCCTCTTTCCAGCAGAGTCCCTGCTGATTTATGTGGCCAGATGCTATGCAGGCTCCTCTTCCTGGCCCTCATACTCTGGTTTGTGGGTCCTAGAATGGGATTGAGAGACCTCATGCTCCTCAGGCAGACTTTTGCAGCTGAGATATCCTTCCAGCTTCTTAGCTGCCACACCTAGGTGCAGGGACCATCTCTTTTCTTGTCTCCATCCTTCTTACCAGTCTCTGTGTAGCTTCTTCTATAAACCCTTGAATATAATACTCCTGGTCAGTTGTCCTTCAGTTGGTCATTCAGATTAATTGCTCTATAATTTAGCTGTAAATCCAGTTTGGTAAGAGGAGGTGGTGTGTGTCACTTCTGCTTTCTCCACAGCCATCTTTGGTCTGTCTTCAATTTGGATTTAAAAGTTATCATTTTTATCCAAATTATGTCTAGCATAAGAGAGGGATTCCTTTAGGCAAGGTTTCAGTTCTGTTATTTGGAGCTGTAATGAGGGAGGTCTTTCATAAGTGCAGAAAACTAAAAATCTTTCCACATTTGTGTTTCTCTGGCATAAACAGTTCTCCCCAGGCTTATCATGGACATGTAGCAGTGATACAATAATGATAATTATGCAGTAAGCACCAAAGGCAGGTATTTGCATGGTATGTGGTGGGGCTCTGGGCATGGTTAGCCTTACTAAGTATTCCAAGAGGGCACATGGAGTTTGTCATCTGTGAGAGACGACTTTAATGCATTAGTGATGAAAAACTGCTCACCACTGACTATTGTGATCTCCCAGAGAGTGGAAGAACTCAGCAGTAAGTATATGCTTCTTGTCCTGTGAATGTGAACACAAATATTCAGACAGTTGGGCATGGTGCTCCATCTTGTGTCACCCTCATCAAAGGTTTGAAATACAGTAGGTGATGTATAATCAAAATATCAAAAAAATAGTAGGTGATGTATAATAGCCATACACAACCATTTTATTTATTATTTATTATGACATCTAAACAGCAACATCACTTACTTTATTTTCCTGTTTAGTTGGTTATCAGTGGTCCTCTACCTATTATAAATCTAGATGTGTAAAAACAGAATATTCTTTATTTTAAATTTTATTTATTGATTTTTAGAGAGAGAAAGAGGGAAAGGGAGAGAGAGAAAAACATTGATTTATTCTTCCATTTATGTATGCCTTTATTGGTTGATACATGTATGTGCCCTGACTGGGGATTGGACCCACAACCTAGGCATATCAGGATGATGCTCTAACCAACTGAGCTTACCCAGTCAGGACTAAAGCAGAGTATTCTTTTAGCTCATTTTCTCATATGTGTTGATCCCTTTCAGTTTTTTATGCTTTGCTGTTGTTTGTTGATCAGAATTTTGTGGAGGAAATTCATTTTTTGAGTACTTTTGCTCTTCAGCTGGGTTAGTAACACTGTCAGAAATGGACTGGCCTCACAAACACCTACCTTTGGTCCAGAGCGGAGTTTTAAAAGTGGAAGAAATGGCTGCCCATCAAATATGACATTAGAGTTGTCAGGCCCTGTTTACCCTAAATGCCTACTGTCCCACCTCTAGTACATGGTTAACAAATGAAAATCCTCAAATTAGAGATTCATTTTGGGGGAGAGTAAGGCTTCTATCCTTTGTTAAAATTTAAACATCATGAAACATGACTGCATTAAACCTTTTGGATACTTTGGATGATTTATATTTAATTGGTTTTGTAAACAATTTGATACATCTCAGTGGGGGTAGGGGAAAAAGAAAACACACATTCTGATTACTAGGTACTATGGAGGAATATAGGAGAAAACTCGAAAAAGAAGCTGGGGTGCCTAGAATCATTGAATATGGCTGATTCAGACACTATTATTTTGACTAAGGGCAGCCTTTTCATCGTCCCAGAAATGATGATGACCTTCATCTTCCCTGAAAAATTCTTTAGAGCAGGGATTAACAAACTGCAGGCACATGGGTCAAATCTAGTCCACCATTTATTTTTGTAAGTAAAGTTTCATTGGAACATAACCATTTTCATTCATTTACACACTTGCTATGGCTTCTTTCATGCTACAACAGCAGAACTGAGTAGTTGTTAACAAATTTGGCCCATGATGCCTAAAATGTTTACCATCATATCTGGTCATTTATAGGAAAAGTTTGCCAACAACTGGTCTAGAAAGTTTAGACTTTTAGAAAGCTGTGCATAAGGTCATAGGTATCTTAAATTTATTTTGGACTTATTCACCTTTAATCTTACCATTATATGGACTCAGGGGCAGCAGTTTTAAGGAAAGATCACTGCTTATATCAGATGAGTGCTTATTCAAGAAAAAAGTTTAATTTCAAAAATATTCTTATAACAAAGCATAACACTGCTATGTTTAAAATCTGAGTAGTCAATGGAAAATTAGTATGATTATCCTGTACATGTACCTGATCTGCCAGCCCCTTTTAGGTGCTCCCATTTTATCACTTGAGAAAAATGTTACAATTTCCCTCATATTCTATCATTTTTGAAAACAAAGTATTTATGGCAGACATTGTAACTTAAATATAAAACCCTAATTTCACTGTTGGAAATATGAAAAGTGTTTTAGCTATGTTTTGTCTTGTCTTTTCTCTCTTAGCTTTAAGTCCATGGCCCAAAATGACTCTCCCACTGGAGACTCTCTTCTGTAAAGACGACAAGGAGACAGGAGGCTGTGATGAGCATGCCACTGCATCAGGTCTCTGCCATTCCATCCCAGGATGCCACCTCTGCTAGAGTCTATAGAAGTAAGACCAAAGAAAAGGAGAGGGAAGAGCAGGTAATGGGAGAACATCTACTTTACTTTCCTAATTTTTGTTATTTTCATTAAATATGGTCTAGAATGATAAGTTCTAAAGATCAAGGTTTTTCTGGTGATACACTAAAAAGTCCAGGGCGAGCTTAGATACTGTCTTTTTGTAGGTTTCTAGATTTTCAGATTTTGGTATCAATTTATTCTGTCATGGTTATTCATGACTTATTTATCTTCATTGGTTAAATCTACCTGATTAGTTCTGGTGAATCACTGAGAAGTTCTTTGCATTCTCAGAATTATGATGCAAAAGATAAATTTATTTGAACAAAAATGTATGAATGCCTCATACATACTAGTCTCCACTGGCTGCAGGGGAATCACAGTTTATATCACAGACCCTGTCTCTGCCTTTGTATGGTCTTGATTTGGTCTGAAAATGAACTACGCATAAGAGTTTAATAAGGTCAGTGACAGAGGAAATTCATGACCACCTAATCCCAGCCCAAGGGGTCAGGAATGGCTTCTTGGATAAAATAACATTAACATGGAGAACCTGAGCAATGTCCTGGGGTTAGCTAGGAGAAAGGTTGGGTGACTGTTCATCTGACTATTCATCTGTTGGGGGACATAATACATTCCGAAAGACCAAAAAGTAGAACAAGGTGAATTTGAAGGGATTAAAATAGAATTAACTGGCACATAAAGGTTGAACTGGATAGCGGCAAGATAGGAAGTTGGAAAATTTAGAGGAGTTACCTTAAGGGGTTTGGATTTATCATTGCAAAAGAATGACTAGATTTGTGTTCTTAAAACTTTCATTCAGGTTGCAGTATGGAGAACAGTTAAAGGATTATTTAGTAGTCTACTAAGGCCAGGTTTGGCAAACTTTTTCTTTAAAGGTCTGATAATAAATAGTTTAGACTTTGTGGGGCAGATAATTGCATTTCCCCATTTCTGCCACTGTAGCAGGAAAAAAGTCAAACAAAATACATAAATGAATGGACATGACTCTGTTCCAATAAACCTTTGTTTATAGAAACAGGCGACAGGTTAGGAAAGGAATGTTGCTGAGTAGTGATATATGAAAATAGTTTGTTCGGTTTTTTTTTGCTTTTCAAAAGAAAACATTAACAATGAAATTGTAGAGAAAGCATCCTGAATAACCGACTATACACTAGCAGGAGAGAAGCATTATAACGATAGACAAACAGAAGAAACCACTTAAGCATAACGAGACTGGTAGGGAATGCGGAGGATGTGTGAGAAGGCTGATTGGGCTTCCATGGGTGGCAGCTGAAGTGCCAGAGTGATATTTCAGCAGCCCAGGGTTCCCCCTGAGAAGTGTGGGTCTAAATCCCCAGCTTGGCTCCCCAGCTTGCAGCATCAGAGCCAGAAAGGAGCCCAGATAACATCTAGCTGTGAAAAGCCTCAGGCTTTCTATCTTCCAGGGAGAGATGGCTGGAGATTCAGAGAGTCCCTTAAAGAGCCAATGCACAAAATATTGTTTGCAGCCACTTAACCCTGAGCTCAGGCAGAGGGAGAGCAGATTGGACTAGAAATGCTTGAGGAGAGTTTGGGGCTGGTAGATCTGGGGAGAGGACTGAAGGAACTGCCAACAGGATCCCTGTGCTGTCATTCCCCATACTGCAGAAGCCATCTTGCATAGGCAGAACACTCCTCTCCAAGTGGTATCTGCCTGAAAGAAAGCAAAAGCCCTGCCCACAGGGATTACTCTGTCCTTCACACTATGGTGCTTACCTGATTGCTGGCTACAGCTTATAAAGCTATATATCTGATTAGTTTAACTAAGGTGGAATATACAAAGAAGCAGCCAAAATGGGAAGACAAAGAAACAGACCCCAAATGAAAGCACAAGAGAATTCTCCAGAAGAAGAACTAGATGAAATAGAGGTAAGCAATTTATCAGATAGGGAGTTTAGAGTTGTGTTTATAAGAATACTCGACAGCATGAAAAAAGACTTAGAAACCATAAAAAAAGACCAGTCAGAAATAATGCAATATCTGAAATAAATAATACACTGGAAGGAATAAACTGTAGGTTAGGTGAAACAGAGGGTTGAAACAGTAATTTGGAAGACAGGGTAGACAAAACCACCCAGAGCAGCAAAAAGAAAGAAAAATGAAGAGAGTTCTAGAAACATTTCAGACAAAATGAAGCATAACAACATCCACATCATAAGAATACCAGAAGGAGAAGAGACTGAGCAAGGGAACAAGAATGTATTAGAAGAAATAATGACCAAAAACTTCCCTAATCTGATGAAGGAAAAACACATACAAGTCCAGAGTCTACAAGGATGAAATCATTTCGCGCATTTTCTCTGATCACAGTGCTATCAAACTAGTCCCAAACAAGTTGGACCCAAAGAAGCCTACACTGAGACACATCATAATTAAAATGGCAAGACCGAAAGACAAGAAACAATCCTAAAAACCACAAGAGAAAAGCAGATAGTTACCTACAAGGGAGCACTAATTAGACTGTCATTCTGACTATTCATCAGAAACATTACAGAACAGAAGGGACTGGTGTGAAATAATCAAGGTGATGAAAAGCAAGGACCTACACCCAAGACTACTTTACCCAGCAAGGCTATAGTTTAAAATTGCAGGTGAAATAGGAGCTTCCCCGACAAGAAAAAGATAAAGGAGTTTGTTAACACCAACCAGTGCTGCAACAAATATTAAGGCTTGCTTTAAGAAAAAAAAGAGAAAGAAAAACAAAGCAGAAGAAAATAGTCTAACAATAAAATGGCAGTACGTATATATCTATCAATAGTCTCTTTAAATGTAAATGGCTTAAATGCTCCAACCAAAAGACAGAGGATTGCTGAATGGAAAAGTAAACAGGACCCATATATATGCTACCTCCAAGAAACCCATCTCAGATTGAAAGATACACAGACTAAAAGTAAAGGGATGGAAGAAGGTATTTCATGCAAATGGAAGGGAAAAAAGCTGGAGTAACAGTACTTATATCACACAAAATAGACTTTAAAACAAAGGGAATAGTAAGAGACAAAGAAGGACAGTGTATAACAATAAAGGGAACAATCCAACAAGAGGATATACCCTAGTAAACATGTATACACTCAATATGGGAGCAACTAAATATGTAAAGCAATCTTGATGGACATAAAGGAAGAGATCGACAGAAATACAGTCAATATTGGGGATTTTATAACCCCATTGACTTCAATAGGTAGATCTTCCAGACAGAAAATCAACAAGGAGACAGCAACCTTAAGCAACACTAGATCAAATGAGTTTAACTGATTTTTTCAGAGCATTTTACCCCAAACAGCAGAATATACATACTTTTCAAGTACACATGGAATATTTTCTAGGATAGACCACATGTTAGGACAAAAAACAAATCTCAATAAATTTAAGAAGATTTAAATGTGAAGCATTTTCTCTGATCACAATGCTATCAAACTAGAAATCAATCACAAGAACAACAGTGAAGAGCATGCGAAGACATGGAAGCTAAAGAACATGTTATTAAACAATGAATGGGTCAACAGTGAGATCAAGGAAGAAATCAAAAGATACCTTGAAACAAATGAAAATGAGGACACAACAATCCAAAATCTGTGGGGCACAGGAAAATGCATAGCATTACAGGCCTATCTCAAAAAACAAGAAAAAGCTCAAATACACAATCTAACTTCACCCTTAAAGGAACTTAAAAAGGAACAACAAACAAAGCCTAAAGTAAGTAGAAAGAAGGAAATAAGAAAGATCTGAGCAGAAATAAATGAAATAGTCTAAAAAAAGATACAAAAGATCAATGAATCCAAGAGCTGGCACTTTGAAAAGATAAACAAGATTGACAAACTTTTAACCAGACTCAAGAAAAAAAGAGAGTGGGCCCAAATAAATAAATCACAAATAAAAGAGGAGAAATAACAACTGACACCAAAGAAATACAAAGGATTGTAAGAAAATATTATGAACAACTGTAGGCCAACAAATTGGATAACCTGGATGAAATGGATAAACTCCAAGAAACATACAGTCTTCCAAAACTAAATCAGGAAGAATCAAAGAATCTGAATATACAGATTACACCTAATGAAATTGAAGCAGTAATCAGAAAACTCCAAACAAACTAAAACCCTGACTGGATGGCTTCATAGGTGAATTTTGCCAAACATTTTGAGAAGAACTGGCACCTCTTCTTTCAAACTATTTCCTAAAATTCTGGAGGAGGGAAGGCTCCCAAACTTATTTTATGAGGCCAGCATTATCCTTATTCTAAAACCAGATAAAGACACTACAGAGAAAGAAAATTATAGCCCAATATCCCTGATGAACATAGTTGCTAAAATCTTCAACGAAATATCAGCAAACCAAATATAGCAATGAGTCAAAAATATTTTACACCATGATCACGTGGGGTTTATTATGGCAATTCAAGGTTGGTACAACATTGGCAAATCAATAAATATGATTCACCACATAAACAGAATGGAGGATAAAAACCACATGATCATATCAGTACATGCAGAAAAAGCATTTGATAAAATCCAGCACCCATTTATGATAAAAACTCTCAGCAAATTGGGTTTAAGGGGAATGTACCTAACCATAATAAACATCATATATGACAGAGCCATTGCCAGCATCATACTCAACTGGCAAAACTACAAGCATTCCCCTTAAGATTGGGAACAAGACAGGAAATCTGCTTTCACCACTCTTACTCAACATAGTACTGGAAGTCCTAGCTACAGCATTCAGACAAGAAGAAATAAAAGGCATCAAAATTGGAAAGGAAGAAGTAAAACTGACATTATTTGCAGATGCCATGATACTGTACATAGAAAATCACAAAGATTTTCCACCAAGAAACTACTAGAACTGATAAATGAATTCAGCAAAGTAGTAGAATACAAAATACCCAGAAATCAGTTGCATGTTTATATGCTAATAACAAACTAACAGGGAAATTAAGAAAACCATCCCATTCACAATGCTGTAAATAGAATAAACCTAAC